ATACTTAATAAACTCTCATGTGTGTGTACACACACACACACACACACACACACATTCCATTCTGATTATGTCTCTCTAGAAAACCCTAATACAATTAAGAAATTAAAAGAAATGTCCATACTACCAAAAGAGGTCTTATAGATTCAATGAAATCCCTATCAAAATTCCAATGTAATTTTTCACAGAAATAAAAACAATTCTAAAATTTGTATGGAACTACAAAAGATCTCAAATAGCCAAAGGAATTGAGAAATAAAAAAGAATAAAACTGAATGCATTACACTACCTAACTTCAGAATCTGTAAGCTATAGTGAACAAAAACAACATGGTCCTGGCATTAAAAACAGACATTTTGACCAACAGAGCAGTATAGACAGCCCAGAAATAAGCCCATATATTTGTGGTCAATTGATTTTCAACAGAGGGGCCAAGAAAGCACTAGTGGAGAAAGAATAGTCTCTTCAATAAATGGTGTTGGGAAAACTGGATCTATACAAGCAGAAGAACAAAACTGGACTCTTATTTCACACCACAAACAAAAATTAACTCAAAGTGGATTGAGTACTTAAACATTGAGACATGAAACTGTAAAACTACTAGAAGAAAACAAGGGAAATGCTTCACAATATTGGACTGGACAAAGACGTTTTTAGATATGACCCCAAAAGCACAAGCACAAGCAAAATGTAAACAAATGGGATCAAAGAAAAAGGCTGTGCACAGCAAAGGAAACAGTAGGGTTAAGAGACAACCTATAGATCAGGAGAAAATACTTTCAAACGTACATCTGATGAGGGGCTAATATTTAAAATATATGAAGAACTCAAACAACTCAATAGCAATAAAACAAATAACCCAATCTAAACATGGTCAAAGAATCTTTGTAGACAATTCTCAAAAGGACATACAAATGGTTAAGAGATATATATTATATATATAATCTATATTAGACATATAATATATATAAAATATATAATTATAATTTAATATAGATTATAAGATATATAATCTATAAATTAAATATTTATAAATTTATATATTTATATATAATATATAATATGTATATTTATGCTCATCACTGATTATCAGGGAAATACAAGTTAAAACCACAATGAGGTATTACTTCATACCTGTTAGAATGGCTATTATAAAAAAGATGAAAGATAGTGTTGATGAGGGTGCGGAGAAAATAATGCTTGTGTGCTGTGGATGGGAATGTAAATTAATATATCCATTCTGGAAAACAGTATGGAGGCTCCTCAGAAAACTAAGGATAGAATTTATCATATTATCCAGTAATCCCTCTTCTGAGTATATATCCAAAGGAATTGAAATCAGTATGCCAAAAATATATATGCATTCTCATGTTTATTGCAGCATTATTCACAATAGCCAAGATACTAAAATTACCTGGGTGTCAATTACCAATGAACGGATAAAGAAAATATGGTGTGTGTATGTGTCTATATATGTATATACACACACATGTATACACACACCAAATTACTACTGGGTGCGTGTGTATATATACACTTACATACATACATAATGCACCAGATTTTCTTTATCCATTCATTGACAATTGACACCTAGGCAGTATGTAGTATAGTGTTACTATACTATTTGGTGAACATATATATGTAATATTGTAATGGAATACTATTTAGCCTTAAAAAGGGGGGGAAATAACATGGATGAACCTGGAGAGCATCATGCTAAATAAAATAAGCTAGGAACAGAAAGACAAATACCGTATGATTTCACTTACATGTGGAATCTAAAAAAATTGAAATCATAGAAATAGTGACTAGAATGATGGTTACCAGTGGCTGGAAGAGGGGGATGGATGGAAAAAGGGGAGATGTTGATAAAAGTTTCAGGTAGACAGGAGGCATAAGCTTTAATGATCTGTTGCACAGAATGGTAATTCTAATGATATATATTTCAAAATTCCTATAAAATTATATTTTAAATGTTTTGGTAGTAAGAAATAAGCATGTGAGGTGATGTATTTGTTAATTATGCTGATTTAATCATTTTATATTGTAAACATCAAGACACCACATTATACCTCATAAATATATATAACTATTTTCATCAATTTAAAGAAAAATGGGAGGCAGCTAATGGGAACAGGGCATTTGGGGTGAAAAAATATTTTGGAACTTGGTGGTGGTTGCATAATACTGTGAAGGTACTCAATGTCACTGAATTGTATTCTTTAAGATAGTTAACTTTGTGTTGTGTGAATTTCACCTCAATCAATGAAAAAGATGGAAAAAATAAAAGTATAAGCAAAAGACTGGAAGAAAATACTGAAAATATGTATCTGGTAAAGATTTGTATATAGAATGTACAAAAAACCTTTACACCTTGAAAATAATAAGATGAACAACCCAACCATAAAAAGTATTTGAATAGACACTTCATAAAAGATGATATAAAAATGGCTAATAAGCACATGGAAAGATGCTCAACATAATTTCTATTAGCAAAATGAAAATTAAAACCACAATGAGATATCATTTCACACCCACTAAAATGGTGATAATAAAAAAGATAAACAATTAAAATGTCAATGACAATGTGGAGAAATAGACTCTCATACATTGCTGGTGGGAATGTAAAATGGCATAACTACTTTGGAAAACATTTTAGTAGTGCTGTTAAAAAATTAAACATAATTTAACATATGACCCAGCAATTCTTTTAGGTGTCTAATATCAATGAGAAATGAAAATATAAATCCACACAAAGAATTGTACACAGATGTTATTAGCATGGTCTTCCATAATATTGGATACAACTAAATATTGGATATAGCCAAAAATTCAAAACAATCTAAATTTCTACCAGCTGGTAAAGGTGCGATAGTCATACAATGGAATATTATTCGGCAGTTAAAAGGAAAAAAAAATTACTGAATGTGCAACAACATGAATGAATCTCAAAAATATGCTAAGTGAAGGAATGCAGAAATAAAAGGTCATGTATTATATTATTCTATTCATTTAAAATATCCAGAAAAGGCAAATCTGTAGAGTCCAAAAGTGGATTACCTGCTTTGGGATATGGTGAAGGAGTTGATGGTGGGAATTAACAGTAAATAGACATCATAATTCTTTTAGGGGTGATTAAAAAGTTCTAAAACCATTTTATGGAAATGTTGCACAATTTGATAAATTTATTTAAAATACTGAATTGTATACTTAAAATGAGTGAATTGGTATATATAAAATATACCTCACTATAGTTACTCCCCTCTCTTTATTTGTGTGTGCGTGTGTGTGTGTGGCCATATACATGTAAAAGGCTTGGTTGCATTTTGGACCAGAAGAATGAAAATAAAGGGGAATTTCGTATCCTAAAGCTTGTCTTGTATTCTCCACTTTATTGTTATTCTTTATTAATTACATGGAGAAGCCATCTAAAACACTAGGTGTCTGATGCCTTTGCTTTTTCTGGTGCCTCTGCCTTCATGAACATGATTAATATTTAATTTTCTTTTCAGATATACAGCACTGTATTTGGCCGATGCTAACAGGAAAGTTCATTTATATCATAAATACTAAGTAAATTCTAAGATATTTGGGTTAAGGGCAAAATTAAAATGGTTATCCATTTTAAAATGATGGTTGTCCAATCAATTCAATGTGTTTTCTACATATAGATTCCTTTCTTATTGTAGAAAATATTAGTTCTTCCTAAATCCTAAAATAGAATGCTGAAATAAGGGATGTAGTATGAGTATTATTTTATAAAAGAAAATATTCAATTTTAATTGAAAAAAAATAAGTTGCCTAAAACTTAGTGTGATTGGTATGGATTTGTAAAGCACATAGTATTAAATTTGATGAGAGAAACTTTTAATTGACAAGGAGTCGATATCTCAAAAGGGAAGGATATGGATTTTAAAGTTTCATTCTGGAAAAGGGCAGAGGGAAACTTAGGAAGGATAGAAATGAAGACATTAACATTAATGTCTGACCTTTAAAAAAGTACAGGTGGCCATTCAAATATACTAGTACTTCCTATGTTACCTTTCATACCATAATCAAAATCTACAAGGACTGTTGGTAGGGATGACAGAGAAACAGAACAAATGAAAAATAATGACTTTAAGAGCAGATATCTGAAATGTGCAGTATTGCCTTGGCTAGAGAATAAAAAATGTACTGGGATTTTTTAAACTCTGGACTGGAAATTTCATTGAAGTTTAAAATCTTCATTGTGTTAAGAAGAATCAAAACTAACTGATCTCCTGATGCAATTATATTTTCAGTTCAAAGCAGGGAAGATATGTTCTAATAAAATATTTAATGCCAATCTGCTATTGCCCAGCTACTCCATTCTTATAAGCTAAGTGAATGTCTTATAAGTTAAATGCAATGTGTTATGCCTTTACTGTTTTATGTTTGGGTCACACACAGGGCTGAGGGAAACCAGTAAAACACATCAGTGGCATATTAACCCGAAGTTGTTCATGGCTGTATATTCAAGGGAGCAAGGACAAATAATGGTCAAGGAAGGAAGTCAGGGATTGGTGCCTCTGTACTAAATGTCAGCTTCAAAGGGAGAGACCAGAGCATAAGCAGACAGTTCTCTAGGTTGCAAATTGGGAGGATTAGGAACAAGAGAGATCCATGCAGGATGGATAGTAAAAAAATGTTTTATACCAAAAATTGTATTTCATGGCATTAGGACTGTCTACTGGGGTAAGACACTATGCAGTACTAGGCAATTAGAATTCTATTCACTAGCTATGTGCACAAGGGGCTCCTGGCCTGGTCATTTTTGGATGTAAAACTGTTCATGGCAAGTATACATTATTTGCTTTTCATTGGAATGATTTTTAGTCTGACTTGACTGTGTTGTAGATCACGGTTTTGCTTTTGTACACAGCCTGCTTATCTGGAAGGTAGCTTGATATTTTTATGTAAGTACCTAAGGGACTTCTCAATATATGGTTCTCATACTATGCAACCTATTTCTATTTCAGTCTGGACAGTTTTAGACGGTGCAGTCTTGCTATATGGTGTGAGAAATGGCTGTAGGAAGCAACACTCAACGAAGTTATTCCATCATCCCGTGTTTTATATTTGTTGAGGTATGTGTATTTTTTAACCTTTACGAACAAATTGAAATAAAAGTAACAGTTTTTATTCTGATAACTTAGATTATTTTATAAAATTATTTTATGATTGGTAATTCAATTTTTATAGCACAAATGTTGGTAAAGAATTAAACTATGCAAAATGTTTCTTAAATAGGAAGTCATAGAGTAAGAATGTTTTTAAACTTCACCTTTGGGTTACAAAAGTTGTGTTTTATTATATTTCTTCTATTGTCAACAATGATGTGAATGTTAACTATGAAAGAGAATGAAACATTTTAATTAAGTTGTTCATTAAAAAATCAATATCCTGTTTCAGGAAGTCAGTAATGCAGGTATTTTACAGATGATGATAGTTCATGGTCTTTTGCCTTGGAACCCAAATAAAGAAAAATAATCTTAGAATTTACTATCTCCTCTGGACATTCTCATTTAGTAGCATATTGGGAACTTGTGCAATGTGTGATTTCTTTTGTCCTGAATTTCTTTGTTGAGTTGCTCGGACTTTGTACCAGCAGTTTTTCCAGCATCTTTTTGGTTAAATTTCCTGAACTCCTTTTGTACTCCACCTCCCTTTCTAGGTTTGCTATAGAGGAGACCAAGACATGAATTTTTTAGGAAATTTGGAAAAAACTGCTAAGTTATCTCAAAATAAGATATTATTGTATCTGCCTTATCAAGAAAATAGGGCATCTAGTAGTGGATCGGTTTTTTTAGCCTAAAGATCAGACCTAAAATGAGACAGTGTAGAGAGCTGAAAAGTGTCTTGAACTTCCTGTCTGGGTAACTGTGGGATAGTCTCCACATCTCAGGGGTGAGCTGTAGCATATTCTTTTTTATGGCATCTTTTTGGTTGACTGTGGGAGAAATGTGTGTTGATCTACTTTATTATCCATATAAGAACAACGTTGGGTTAAACCACTACTTATATTAGCAAAAATGTACTTTCTGTAGATGTGTTGTTTATACAAATCCTGTGATTTAGACAAGAACTTTAATGTTCTCCAACTTGAAATAACTTTACCTGCCTATATAGTCAGATAATTTTGAGCATTCTGATTTTTGATCAAATATATGGGTGTTTGGCTGATCATTGAGTTTCACCTTATAGATATTGCTTGGTTCTTTTAGATGAACAAGTATTTCATAATGATGTATTTTCTGGTGATATTTGATAATCTGTTCGTGTTGCAGAATCAGGTAAAGATAGGAGAGAAGGTTGGAACAGAGATGTTAATATAAACGAAGGTACATATAGACTCAATTTAAGCTAAATCTCTGAAGGGGTAAACAAAGAACTCATCATTCAACCAAAAACACATATTCTTAATACATTGCATTTAACTTGCTATACAATGCCAAAATAACTCCATTCAGATAATAGTGATAATTATATATATTGTGAGTTCTGGTTACTGTTCTTCTTATTGATATTGTGGTGAAGGGAAAAAATCATTTTTCCTGTTGCTCATGTGAGATGGTTAGAAGGTATAATAATAGTACTTTTTTCAGTGTTTGCTTTCTCTTTTGTTATATGAAAAATAATTTTTAAGTAGGCTGGGGGAAGTTCGGGAATAAGTCATCATTCATCATCTTTATCCTCCCTGCAGCAATTCTATTTTATATTTTCTTAAAAATCAAGCAGGAAGCAACCCTCAAAGTGAGACGTTTAATTTATTGCTGGAAGCGATAGTCTCTGAAGATTTTCAGCTCTCTAATGTGTGAATGATGAGCTTGGCCGGTGGAGCAGCAACAAGGGAGATAAATTAGTCCTTTTGTAGTTTACCCTGACACAAACATAAATAGAAGTCTAAAAATCTGGGAGAGAAAAGATGTTTTTTTCTTTTTCTTGTTGTATTGTTGGTCTTATTTTGCATGGAAGTTTAGCATGTATCAGTGACCTCTCAGAAACAGGCAGGCAAAAGGGAAGGAAAACAGGACACAGAAGACCTCGAGGGGGAAGGAGGTGAATCTCAAAGTGGCTCTCATGATTCTCATGTATTTCATTCACAGATACTTATTGTTTACCTATATTATTCCAGATACTATAACAAGGATATCACAAAACTTGGTATAAAATGTCAACTTGACCAATGAATACCTTTTCGCTGTTTTTTAATTTTGAAATAATGTAATCACAGAAAGTAATTGACATCCCTACACCTACCATCAAGACAAAATCTTAAAGTTTTGTCATATTTGCTTCAAATGTTTTTGTCAAGGAAAATAAAATGTTACAGATATGGCCAAAATCCTATTGTCCTGAAGCCAGAAGTCATTATATGTTTGAAGTTTGGGGGTTCTTTTCCCTATATCTATCCCATGCATATTTTATATTTTCCTACATATGTATATATTCACTGATAATATTTTAGGAAAATTTTACATAAATGACACTATGCTGAACCTTTCTTTTGCTACTTGCCTTTTCATTCAACATTATGTTTCTGAGATTTATCCAGATTGGCTGGATAAAATGAATGGACTGCCATTCATTTTAATTGTTGCAATTTATCGTATTGTGCAAATATACCTACTGAGGGACAGTTTGTTTATGCGTTTGTTTGCTTAATATGCTTTTTCACTGTCATAAATGTTTCTGCAGAAAATATTCTTATTTTTGTCTCTGTGCATATATGCAAGAGCTCGCTTAGTATGACATAGCAGAATTGCTAGGGGATAATTATATTTGCCAGTTGTTTTCTGCTGCATTATAGAAGTAACCTTGATATTTGTATATCAGTTTCTTTGAAGAAATTTTAAAAACCTCTATTATTACTTTTATGAGTATGTCATATATTCTGTAGCTTTTTTTTTCAATTACATCATCTGTAAGTGGCAGCACATTTATTTCTTCTTTTCCAATTGTCATGTTTTTACTTTCTTGCCTTGTCTTATTGCTTTGGTTAAGACCTCCTGTGCAGTGTTGGATAGAGGCAGTGGTAGAGAACATCTTTGCCTTGTTGCCAACTTTAAAGAAAATACTTCAAGTGTTTTACTATTGAATTATGAATAAATGTGGATTTTTACTTTTTTCTTGCTCCCTACCGTCATCTAATTTTGATTAATTTGTTTTAATCCCCCATTTACTTCCTTTATTGATTATAAATTATAGATATTTCTTAAAATTACTTTGAAATTTTAAATATACATACTTGACAACACAAACTGAAGTTCATCAATAGCTCCATGATTGTCTTAAACAAGCAATGACTGTTCTTTGACTACTTTGAGCTCTTATATGTCATCCTTCATTTTTATATTTTCCTTAAATTTTTCACCTTTTTTTCAGTTGGGCTTCTTTGAATTTACCTGTATTCATCAGTTTCTTTGCTTATTATTCCTCTCCTACTGTAATTTCCTCATGAAGTTTATCCTTTAGCAATGCTTTCAGCAAGAGTCTAGTACTGTTGATGAAGAGATTCAAACTCTAAAGAGATCTATTCTGAGCTAAATATGAGTGACCACACCCTGTGACACAGCCTGCAGGAGACCCTGAGAACATGTGCTCAAGATGGTCAGGGTGAAGCTTGGTTTCATACATTTTAGGGAGATATGAGACATCAATCAAAGACATGTAAGATATACATTGGTTTAGTCCAGAAAGTGGAACAGCTCGAAGGGGAGAGCTTCCAGGTTATATGTAGATTAAAAAAAAATTCTGATTGGCAATTGGTTGGGTCATTATCAATAGTAGAAAGGAATGTCTGGTTTGATAAGAGGTTATGGAGACCAAAATTTTATCATACAGATGAAGCCTCCAGGTAGCAGGCTCCAGAGAGAATAGATTGTAAATGTTTCTTATCAGACTTAAAGTGTGCGTAGATGGTAAATGCTGGTCAGTTTTTCCTGAATTCCAAAAGGGAGGAGGGTATAATGAGGCATGTCTGACCCTCCAACCTTGTCATGAGTTGGGGGGTTAAATCCCCACCCCCTTTTTTGTGCTCCGAACTTTCAGTATAATATGTCAAAGTGTGAATTTGTATTATCTAGGACTTATTGTGTATCTTGAATATTAAGTCATGTTTGTCACTAGCTCTGTAAAACTCTCAGCCATTGCTGCTTCAGATATTTTTTCTGCAACATCTATGTGTATCTTCTCATTCTTTCACTCCATCTCTTAGCCCATCTTGTTGCTGTTTATTTAATTTCCAGAAATTCTATGTGTGTTTTAAAAATTATTTTTATAGTGTCATTTTCTGTGCTTATGGTTTTGTTTCTTTTGTCTTTAATTATATTAAATGTAATTATATATTTTCAAATTGTCCTATTATCTGAAATTATTGGCACTGTGATCCTCCTGTTGGTTGTGTCTGCTGTCTTTAGCTCATGGTGGACTGTTTCCTTATATTTGTGGGTTTTGTTTAGCTCCAGTTTAGCAGAGCTTACTTCTTCTGTAAGGTTCATGTAGACCTTAGGTGTTGACAGTATCACTTTGGAGGGATTTTTCATCAATGTTTGTTTCCCTTGAGTTTAATTTCCATATTCAGCAACCAAACTTGCAAAGTCTCAAACGTATAGTCAAAGTTGATCTTTCCTTGTAGTCTTCCTATACCAGCAGGTGGATTATATAGAACGCTTTCAGTTTACCTGTGAATTGAAAGGGAAGGAGAGAGGGATAACCATTGTTTGTAGATATTTGCAGTGGAACGTTTTCATGCCATTTTTGTTTCATGAATACATTCATTCATTCATTCATTCATTCATTCCACAAACACTTATTCAGTAACTACATTTTTCCCCAAGGCATTATGTCTTTTGCCGTTTTGGATACTTGACATAGTAACTACGCCTCTGTAACTTGGATCTCACTAAGTTCTTCATAGAGCCTGGACTGTTGGGCCATGCTTAAAATGTGTGTGACAGATCCAGGGTGGGAATGAGACATATATAGGCTGCTCATAGTGGAATGCTGATGTGCATTCTCTTGGTGATTTTAATTGTATGAGCAGAGTTTTTGACTTGGGGATTCTTTTTATTTGTGGCAGTTGGTG